ATGGGTTTCGAGAGTTTTCCCATTCCCGCAATCTGGCCATGAACGAGGCTTGTCTGGTCAAAGAATAGTTCCTCTGACAGCATTTTCTCACCCACTTCCTCACTCTCGCTGGATCAGAATTGAATTCCTCCCTCACGCTCTCTCTTATTACTCTCTCCTCCCTTCCTACTCCTAACCACAGGGTAAAAAATAAGATGAAAAAATTAACAAACAGGTTATTAAGCATACTTTTATTAACATTACAACGTATATTGAATCTACATTATGCAATGAGTCATTCCCCCATGCCTGTCTCTCTCATGACCAACCACCCGCCCTTCCTCGTGCTGTAACAGCCAGCCAGATAGGCCAAACAAATATATTATAATTCAGACATGATACTAACTCCACCTTGCTGACGCCGAACTTTGAAGCTCCTGTGGCGGAATTCTTGATAATAGCCTCATTGCGTTGCTGTTAGGTCTCTCAATCAAGGCTCATATATAAAGTCAGTTTGAGACGTTAAGACAGAAACGAGGCAAGTTTCTGTTTGCATACTGTAACTATCATACAGTTCTTGGGTAAAATGGGGTAGCTGCACACTTCTGATGTACTTAATTTTGTTAAATAAAATCCAGCAAGCATTTTCATTTTTGCTATCAAGCATTTTAATCCAGCCTTGTGGCACTCCATCCTACAAGCACCATAAAAGCAAGGCACTATAATGCAATTAACGTACATAGGTCAGTGCCTGCTAGACCACTCTGAGTATATTTAGCAAGAGCCTTATATACTTGGTGGGTCGTTGCCAGCGTTTACATAAGAGCGAGGAAGTTGGCCTTGACACCTGTGGAAAGTATTGGTGTGGGTGCAGGGAGGAAATAGTGCATTGTGGGTGCAGGGAGGATGGGTACTGGCCTCATGTCATGTTGCTGTATGCTCCTGCTGCTGCCAAAAATCACGTCAACGAGGCGTTGCTACTAGCTCTTACATAAAGTAACTAGCATCAGGTTGCTTCTAGCTCTTACATAAATTTACTAATTGTATTGAGGGCGACGGAGACGTCTCTAAGCGAATTCTTGCTCATTGATAGGACAATGTATTAAGATAAGGTGTACTGACACTACAGCCTACTAGTCCTTGCAGATCGGTGCCGTACGTTTTTCCATGAGGTATCCGTGAGTTAGGTGCATGTGGCCGATGCCAACTTTATCGTGATCTAATTTTAGTACGTGCAAGTGTACACATGTCATAAAAGTACAGGCGTGTATTTGCTCGTATAGAGTAAACAAACACGTTTCCCTTATGGTGTTAAGTACACTAAGGTTCAAAAATTATATTACGATAGAGTTAACCATTATTTTTATCAATTTATAATCACGTAACGCGCTCCTATAAAGAAATTTACCTTATATCTATCACAAGACAAAACAAAAGTACCGCCACTACAGTGTACGTTACATTTATGCGCCAATTAAAGATATCTGTGCATTAAAGGGGAGAAAAACTGACACAATATTTTTCTGCTGCTTGCTGGCACCTAAAACTTATCTTAATGGTGCTCAAGAGTTTTCCAGTCGAAGTTCATGTACATGTTGCCATTTGTAGGCCAAGGAAAGAGAAATGTGTGTTGTGACAGGTGTTGTGGCCGAAAGAGAATGGAGAGGGGAAGACGGAGCACATTCTGCACTGACAGGGAATGACCCATCTAGAGTTATAGTCGGCCATTACATCTTTTGGGCTTCTCCTCCCATTGCTATGCTTCCCCCTTCATCGCCCATCGTCCCATAATGTTTTCCCAACCCCACCCATCACTCCCTTTCTCTCCCATCTCCACCCATCACTCCCTCCCTATCCTCTCCCATCAGGTACCTGGGTTCTCATTCCCTTGGCAGCCTTTTCACATCCTTCTTAACCTCCCCATCCCCAACACCACCAATAAACTCTGGCATTATTTTAGTGAAAGTTGGTGTACAGTGTTGCGGACGTCGTTAACCTTGGCTAACACGGCGCTGGGGATAATAGCGGAGATAAATTACCGGCACACTTACTATCTAAACATGTGATAGGTTTCTCTCCTACAGAAAGATATCTGAAAATATTTAAATTAGAGATATTGCACACCTATACTGTAGCGAGATAACTCCAGTAGTCACTATTTAATAAAGCTCGACTACCTCTCAAAGACAGAAAAAAGAGCCCGAGGTAATAGTCATGAGCTTTAAGAGCCATGGGGACGATGTTCCCTTTTAACAGGTAGCGAGATGTTAATAAACATCTCTGGGTACATTGTCTTCAATTACAGTTTTTTGTATCATTAATTGTTTATAATACGTGGCAAATTTTTGAAGCTGTTTTGTGCAATAATTGAGAAGTGGTGGAAGGCGAGTCAATTGGCAGGCGGGATCACCAGTAGCACGTTTATCGTCAAGGAGTTTCCAGCAATAAGTCCGTCATCACGGGCTGATTTTACCAGATTGGTAGCAGTTTTATTTTTCCGTAGTTTCTCAGTTTTGCAAATATAGCTTTAGAACCGTGTCATGTTTTCCTATTGCTGGCCCTGTTAGCCTGCATGAAACCGTCAGCGACGTGATGATGTACCACTTCTTTCTGTTTTTTTTTTTTTTTTGCTATGCATGAGGGTGTATGAATGGATTTTACCTGTGGATTAATTTTAACTGTGTGTGTGTGTCTCAGAAGTATCCCTTACTGACTTCTTCCTCTAATCATTACACATGCATGGTCTAAAGGAGGTCAGTGACCTTCCCCTTCCCAACACAGCAAGATCAAGAAAAAAGTGCTGATTCTTGTTTACATCATTAAAAGATCTTAGGTCAGCAGGTCCTGTCGCAGTTGAAGAGGCATGTCCCGCATTTGCATATAGAACACATGCAAAAAAGACATCACATCCCTCTTTCTTCCTCCCAAAATAATAACTAAGAGCTAAAGGAATCTATTTTTATTCTAAACTCATTATTTTTCCAACCCTTAACTCTACAAATTCCTTAAGCATTCACCAGTTACAGTCTCTACTTAAAGAAAGAAAAGGGAACTGAGAACGGTATCTCAACATACACATTATTTTCATAACTATTTGAAGAAACTTAAAACTATAGACTATAGAATTGGTAAAAAAAAAATCCAGCATTCAGAAATACCAGGATGACTTCAGTGGGAGCCTGAATCGCGAGAGAGATCTTAACTTTAAACGTATTCTTGTTATTTTTATGGTAATTTCTACTGGGTTGTGACACTGTGCTGATATGCTTATCGTTTGAAAAGTTTAACTTTTTCTATATATTTCAGCTTACAGGAACTGTATCAAGGCCTCTCAATAGTTGAAATGTTCGTCGATAGTTTACGAGCAGCAACAGAATCGTTAAGTTTTCCTTGCATGATGGCAGCAAAGGCAAGCAAATTTCATGGGCTCTTGTTTTTATGTATTTCTGCAAAAAAATAAAATGTTTGCGAATTGACAGTTCCATGAAGTTATACCAAGACATAATGTACAAGATTTAAGAATGTACAAGATATATTTGTCAGTGCACAGCTTCCCTCCTGTACGGTCATGCTGTCACACCCATATCCCCCCCAATACAGGAGGGCCCCGCTTTACAGCGCTCTGTTTTACAGCGTTTCGCTAATGCAGTGGTGGTCAATTATAACCTTTCTTCACTTATTCAAACTTCCTATAATAAATATATTCACCACTTACTATAAGCTAAGGACAAAAATATTTAAAGGTAAGTAATGTGTATACTGTATATGCATTTTTTAGGCCTAGCTCTATTGCTCACTTAATATATGATAGTGTAAACATGTTATCAGGTTTTTATATGAATTTGAAAGTGAAAAAAAAGCTGTTTCACTTTAGAGCGGTAGCCCGGAACCTAACCTGCTTTATATTTGGGGGCCCTCCTGTATTCATAATTTGTGCCTTAAGCGTGGTTGTTGTATATTAAGGATTGATTATATTGAGGTCAGGGAGAAGAATCAGTCCGTGTTGGAGCTTTCATTCAACCAGACTTCCACACCCTGATCACCTCCCAGTGCCCCCTTGTATATTTAAATTTCTATGATAAAATGGCTTGTTCATGGTCCGGGACGGAGGAAAATCCAGACTGACATCCTACCTCTCCCTGATCGTAGTGTACGTTGGTTAATTAATTATTAAATTGAGTGTGAGCGCCGAGATAAAATTAATGTTCATGTTCGGCGTCAAAAACAAGGTGAAAATTAGATTGACAATAACTGCCAGTGAACTCGTTCTCAGCACTCTCGTTCGACTTAGTAATACAACTTATAAACTTACACAATATTGGTAATTGTAGAAGCCCGAGAGGTGGTCAGTGGGGCGGAGTTGACCTGGGCTCAACATGTAGTCATCATCTCCACACCTTCATTTAAGAGTCAAGTTAACTTTCTCTGTGAGAGTACGCGAGTTAAGTATGTCAGGCAGTGTGGGGGTGGTTATGTATGTCAAGTATTGTGGCGTAGTTGTGTATATCAGGCTGTGGAAGTGGTTGTGTATGTCAGGCTGTGGTTTGGTTGTGCACTACTTGTGCACTTGCCAGTTTCTCGACACCGTGAAGGTGATGGCCATGGGAGAGCGAGAGGACGTATGTGGTGAGAGATAATAGTCTCATTACCGTAACCAGGAGGCCATGGAAAGCACCACACATGGTGTGTGTCATCAGGAAACCATGAAAAGCAGGCAAATAACTTTTTAATTAGAGGTAACAATAATATGTAAATTAAGAAGCATTTAATATACACTTCTCATATAATATACACTTATAATTACTATAATATACATTTATTCTGTTAAATAAGACATGTAAAATACTTGGGTATATTAATTCTGCAACGTTTCGCCTGCTCAGCAGGCCTCTAAGTCGAATACAGGGGATAAAGATATCCATGTGTTGTAGATGTGTCTTATTCATCAGTTTGTCGGTATTTTGTCATCAATAATGATACTTATTCTAGGCCAAGTATAACACGTTTGTCTTTTCTTTCAGGTAATTACGGATGCTGTAAGGCAAAGTGGACTTTGTAAGGTAAAGTAAGACAAATTACAGTGATGTGTAAAACAAGGTCTTAAAAGTGACGGACATGGACTTTTCAGTCCTCCAGGTAAACTTCACCCGAACAAGGACACTTGCAGCTGGTAGGTGAGCGCCTGTCGATAAGCGAATACGATATGCCATTTTTTGCTGTTGTACATGCGATATCTTGAGCTGTGGAAGTGGGACAGTTACTATCAACAATGCCTGCCTGACCTGTCTGCCCTCCTGTCATGGGGTGACAAATGGCTCGCCTGAAAATTTAGATACATAGACTTCAAACTTCTAGTACGTGTTATCTCTGTTGTCAGTGTTTGAAGGAGAGATTGAGTTCAATCGCATAATTTCAGCTGTTGGAGCAGTGGTAGTCCTCATTAAAATTGCCTCTCTGTCCAAAATATAAATATTGTTGATGCTCTGACAACAAATTTAGAGCACTCTTATTCAATTGCTGGACCTCGATTCACTGGTAAGATTAAGAATTTGCCAACATAGTAAACACAGACTTTAGAAAAGCCTCTGATAAGTGTAACTTACCAAAGATATCAAAAGTATGGTGTAATAGCAAGAAAAATAGGCACAATATGAATACCTAAATAATGGGTGGATAGATCTTTAGACTTCATTACAGTTCAGACCCAAATAGCAGAAAAAAATCATGAATAGTTTTATTGTGCAGGGGACGGTATTTTTATTGGAGAGCTCTTGAAACCGGTATACCACAGGTATATGCTATAAAACTACTTTTGCTGTCCTCCATCGCGTACGGAACATATATCGGAAATACTGCTTGTGGTTGGGAGGTGTGTGGAAGGGAAAGGTGCAGTGTAGGATGGGCGTTACGTTTGTTGAATTAATTTATGCTCTTTATATTTATAAAAGCTCCTGCCTGGTAGGGACAGGAATAGACCAAAATTTACTACAGACGATGATCAAGGGCACGAGCCAGGGCGTGGCAGGTCTTTTGTCATGATGTATGAGGGTGTGTCTAGACGGGTGTGGCATGTAATGAGAGAGAGAGAGAGAGAGGAGAAAGAGAGAGGGGGAGGAGGCTGTGTGCGTGTGTCAGTGCCAGTGCCAGTAATGGGCACCCTAGGACATGGTACATTGGGTGGGAGGGACGTAAGGCTCATGACAGGAAGGTGTACGTGGAGTTTACCTGGAGTAATTTACGGAGGTCACCACCCCCGCGGCCCGGTCCCGGTCCCGGTCCCAGACCAGGTCTCCTGGTTGCTGACCTGATCGATCAAGCTGTTAGTGCCCGCCGCCTGCAACCCAACTAACCAGCAGCTGTTTTGTATATTACATACTATTGCTTATCTTCCGGCACATCGAGTATAATTTGGTAATTCATAGCTTGACAGGCAGCAGCAGCGTCCCTGCTTTGAACCTGTGTTGTCCTACCATGAAGATGAAGAATTAGACAATGTGCAACATCTGGGTATCTTTATTTGTAGACGTTTCGCCAACCAGTGGCTTTATCAATACAATACATAATGTGAAGAAAGTATATTTATATTCAAAAGATGAGGTAATCAAGACTACGGTGTTCTTCACCAACTCCAAGGCTGACGGGCTGATTATCTCATCTTTTGTATTTAATTCTACATTGCGCCCTTGTATTGATAAAACCACTGGTTGGCGAAACGTCTACAAATAAATATACCCAGATATTGCACATATGTCTAATTCTTCGTCTCGTCGGTTTTGTATATCATTCATGTACAACTTATCCTACCATGATCGTTATCACATTTGGTTTTGTTTTTCTCGTGTAGACTTTTACTAGAGAGGGTCATTTACTAAGAAGTATCATCCATCTTAAAGCAGAAATAATGAGACTGCACTTTAGCCCCTCCATCAAATACCATTACCTAATTAGGAGCCTTTCAACATAAATTTAGTCACCGACAATGGGAGATAAAACTTTCTGTTGCTTGAAGATAGATTTATCAGGCGAAGGCAGATGAGTCATTTGTCAGGACCTGGCATAGAGTGGAGAGTCAATACATGTCTCACAAGTGACCTGGTCATGGAAAGGGCCGTGGGGGCATTGCCCCCCGGAACACCCTTCAGGTATGTTGAAAATGGTATAAAATACCGACAAGTTGATGATCAAGACATGTGTGCAACAGTTAGTATTTTTATTGAAACGTTTCGCCTAGACAGTAGGCTTCGTCAGAGACAAACGCAGCAGGTGTATTTAATGCAATGATGATGTAATCAATCCATCAACCTTAATTTATGAAAGGTGGTGTCAGGACCTGTCATGTGAGAGTGTGTCGGTGCCACTATCGCGCAGCGGCATGGCAGGGTTTGTTACGTGCAGATTGAATTGGTCCTTCCATGGCTGAGGCGGACAGTGGGACAGGACTTGCTAGCCCAGCTTACTAGGCTCAGGACTCGGGGGGGGGATATGGGGTAGGGTGGGTCTAATGAGGGTAGTTGCGTCGAAGCCTCCATTAGTTAAATGAAAAGTTAATTGGGGGAAAGAGGGTGGTGAAGTCGCGTCGGAGTACAGCGGTGGACATGCAGGGTATACCTGTGCCTCCAGTGATGGTCTAGGGATCATCGACCCGAGCTTGGTTAACATTGATTTGTGCGGATGCAGTCCAGTACGTACAGCACGACTGATAGGAATGGTTGAATTTTTTTTTTCCATTTACCCTTTTAAGATGTCGGAAAACCTTTAAGATTTTTTGTACTTATTGCCACTTGCTTTCATTGGGGGTTTCTACACTAACAGAGGGCACAGAATGTAAAATAGTTCCCGCCTGTCCAGTTTCCAAGATATTCTTTCTATTCTTAGGTTTGTCGAATTGTCGTTATCGTATTGACGTTTTTTGGTGTTAATGTGTTTAGTCTAGTGCTATTAGATGTGTTGAAAATTATCACCTGTTGTTACATTTTGTTAAGGAATGACTGCGGATGCAGCCACAGTAGGGAGACAAAATATATATGTTTGAATTTTTTTTTCATTTCCTTTTAAAGTTGGAAACCTTTTGTTGTTCTGTGTACTTAATTGCACTACTGCTTTTCATTGGGGGTATTCTTAATCTTATATGCAGGCATCTCTAATGTAAAATAAGTCTCTCGCCTGCTGTCCAGTTTCAAGGCATATATTCTTTCTCATTACTTTAGGTTTTTGAATTGTTACGTCTATCGTAATTGAGGTTTTTAGTGAAAATCAGTATTCTAGACTGGAGTTAGAATGTGTTGAAAATTATCACTTAGTTGTTATCTCATTTTGTAAGGAAATGACATGCAGGATGACGTACAGTGAGGGAGACAAAATTTTATGTTATTATGATTATTATATTCTTTGTGAAACGTTGAACCGTCTGGCTCAGCTCAACTAGTAATGGAAGCCAGATTCTCCGTCTGTTAAGGGGAGACAGACGTGCTAACTATTCTAGAAGTGATAGATAAGAAACAGGAAAACTTAGCCTCAGGCTGGGCTATGGGGTTATAGTAGAAAAGCACTCGAAACTGGTTACAGGTAAGGTAGGCAGTCTGAACCTGAAAATCAGTTATTAACGAAGATGATCACAGTTACTACGAAGAGGGAACAATCAGGTAATTTGAACATGGAAAAATACTAGAAGGATAAATCCCAAATTTGCACACTGCGATAACGACGCAGATGAAGTTTAGAATAAATAAGTCAGTGACCAAGCATGGGTACCGTAAGGATACTAAAAACTGACATCTGAAGTCCACGACCCTTAATATTGATAATATTGCAAGAACGTGGAAACCTAGAAGTCTCCACATCGGTCACAAGTATGACTTAATGATGACAGTGAAAGTTCTAAATATGTTCTTTAGATCTGAGTTTTCGACTCTTAAATGCGGCTGCTAGTGTCCAATAATAACACCGCTACCAGCATCACTGTCACCACCGCCACCACCACCACCACCACCACCCTGCTTGTACCATTACCATTAACACTACTGCCACTTTCCACGGGTAATTTTTCTTTTTTAGTATAGTATTCTTTTCCTGCCGTTAATGTTGCACCTATCTCATCTTGTCTGGTATTATCTATTATTCTTCTCTCCACCATCTAGCCCATGTTTTCATCCTCATTCCTTACATCATACAGACCCAAGGTCTCCTGCACTTCCCATACAATTTTCACCTTTTCTCTTCAACATCCCCCATTTTTCTTGTTTTCTTCGTCTTTATTTTACTTCTTGTCCACCATTTTCTCCCACCTACAAATTCTTAACCCATAGTGATGTATATGGTTGAAGCAATAGCTGGAATAATTGTTGATCACTGGAGCGTGGAGGAGGGGGGAAGATTCCTCAAGGGTTCCACTCCCTTCCCTTCCTCCCATCCATGTAACCCCCCCCCCATCCCCATCTTCCCACCCTCTCAGAGCAATGCCCGCCAAATAGCTGAAGAACGAGAGCGTCACAAGCAACCTTTGTAGTGGTGGGTATATTGGCATGAATAGTTATCTTCCTTTTTTTCCTGATCAGTCTTGTCTGTTGGCTTTCTAGTTTCTTTTGTTGTATGTGAAAGCGGGGAGGAGGCGGCATTAAGTGTGAGGGCACCAGAGGTACCCAGTGTGTTTTAGGGAATCGGGGTGTTATTAACGTAGGGAGGGAGGAGGGGGCTGGATGCTCACTGTGCGTTGGAGTGTACAGTTAAATAGAATACTGAGGTATCGAGGCACCTTAACTACAGTGGTGTTGAACTACTACTCCTTTGTTCCTTCATCCACTTCTTTATAGCACGTGCTTTTACGTTGTAACAAGTACTTAACACTTTATCTCGTTTGTTTTCTATTTCCTCTCTATTGTGTTCTTTTTGCCTAATAATGTAGCTGGTGACGTTGTTAGTGTCGACCTTGAGTGTTTTGCACCTCATCTTGTGTAGCCGACGCCCACCACTCACTCCTTACACCGTGTTTCCCTGCACCAACACCACCATTTACTCACCCTCTCCTTTCCGCCTGTTGTCCCTGTTCACCATCCACTGTCACGCGACCCCACTCACCCACCCATGCTATCGCTTTTATTCAAAACGTTTGGTTTATATTTGAAAAGTCACGGGCTAGACTTCCGGGCCCGGCGAAATATATATTAGTTTTCTTACGCCTCCTTTTTCGCCTAACAATAAAAATGAGTACCAGGAGTTAACCTATGATTCTCTTGGGAAGAATATTGCTATGCCAATCTGTGTCCTTATGAAAAAAAAAACTCTGGTTCTGCTGGAAGTTTTTTGTAAGTCGTCGACATGTTGCAGTGTATCTGAATGATAATTAAAAAAAAACGCTCGAGGTATAAATTTCCAGGCGTTCACCTTAATTCCTCTCCCTCCTACCCAAGCCATCACGTCCACTATCTACAACCCCACACGCGTCATCCCAAAGCCAGACCACCCACGCTATACCTCCCACATTCCACTCCCAAACCCATAACTATCTCTCCTAACGATCCTGAATTAGGTTATCTTCTACATTCACTTGCCTCTTATTCATGGAGCTCTCTGTCATCCGTCCTCATCCTTCTAATCAAATAAAGGAATAGGACGAAGTAGAAGAAAAGGTTCTGTGTAAGAGGAAGGAGGAGGAAGAGGGCGAAGGAGAAAGAAGAGAAGCACATGTAGGGAACGAAGTAAAAGCAGGGATGTTTACCTGCAGACGGCTCCGGGGTCAGCGCCCCCATGGCCAAAGATCGGAGCAGGCCTCCCGGTGTATGTCATGATCAACCAGGCTATTTGCTAGCTGCACGGAATCCACTCTATACACCACAACCCAACTGATCAGGAACTGACATTAGGAACTTATCAAGTTACCTCTTGAAGACAGCTAGGGGTTTGTTGGTAATCCCGCTTATGGATGTAGAGAGATGGAGGTGTTTTGCACTGCCAATCCTCTTTTGTAGGGGTGATTTTGGTATGCAGGTCTGTGATAGATTCGTCCAGAATTTTCTCCTATGCTTGAGAGAGTACAGTTCAATGGACTCCAGGCATGCCCGAATTTGTAATTTCAGCTGTCTTCAGAATGGCCTGTTAATGTACAGTAATATTCCGGCCTAGGAAGAACACATGACGTATAGAATCATAATTGGCCTAATACTCCTTCCCCCCAAAAATAACGTCTGTGATACTTTTCAAATCGCGGTGTTGTCACCTAGTTACTCTGCTGTCTGTTCACTCATAATGAATGGTACCAACCAATAAATTTTTGCTCTCAGGACAAAATTTAATGGAATAAATACCCAGGTGACGAGAAAGAACACAGCGCTCGTCGCTGCAAAGAGACATTGAGACAGAGGGTTTGTGGGACCTAATATGTATCACCAATGAAGTGTCGATACGAAACTGTTAACTTGTTGCGCCAGACAATTGCTAAAATTGTAATAAAGTTTCTGAAATGTTGATGGTATTACTGAAAGCTTTAGCTTGGAGAGACGGCACTTGGCAAGTGGTGAGGGAGCTCCCCTCCTGCTAGCCGCCACACATGACGTCCCCACAGTAGTACATTAGCGAATAATGGACAAGCATGTCAGTAAAGGGGATACGGACCACATCACAGCAACCAACGGTCTGGATCACCTCTTAACGGGATTTATTACATTAGCTTGTATAATTGAATAGACGGCAACGCCAATGGATGCTGAGGCACAGTTTCTTGACGTTAGTGAACGGTGTTGGCCCATTGTTACGAAACAAAGAGTTGTAGACAGGCAGACGTGAACAAGGAGTGAAACGTAACTACAAGAGTGTAGGTGAGAAGTTTTGGAATCAAAGATAAAACTGATAATTAGATGGAGGAATGAGACAAAAGGGAAAGAAAATGAGGGAGTAATGGGAGAGATGTTGACATTGAATGAGCCTCAGAGCGGTGGTTGAAGGATCGCTACCTTGTAATCCCTGGTTGTCTTTTTTTTATATAGATCCTAAATTCTAAGGAACTGTTCTTGCTAGTGAATGCCTGTATTTTAGTTCAAGCTGTGCATAGCAAAAACAATAAGATGAAGTAATATAATTTTATCTGACCTAGAAATAGTTACGTCGGATGACTCTTCAAAGAACATAGTAGCACAGATGTCACTACAACCAGGAAGATGATGGGGTGAATAATGAGAACTTTCAAAATATGAGGAAGTAGAACCAATAGTGGCAGTTTTCAAATCGTTTGTGCTCTCTCGTTTAGAATATTGTTCAGGTTGACGACCCGTTAAGGGTTGGAGAGATATCAGAGCTGGAACAGGAACAGATATTCATGGCTCACATAGAGCCAGTACAACATTTAAATTACTGGGAACGCATTAAAGTTCTAAATATGTACTCACTGGTGCGGAGAAGATACATGATAAAATATTACTGGAAAGGGCTTCTCACAAACCTGCACATTTTCATAACATACTAGTGATACATGGGAGGAAGCTCGAAATAAACCCAGTGAACAGCAGAGACGCCGTGGGCACAAGAGAACATTGAATTAACATTTGAGGCCCCAGACTATTCAGCGTCTTACAGAAGATATCAAACACTGCTGGACTATATATAGTCCAGTGATTTGGGGGGGGGGGGCAAAAACTTTCTCAAAAAAAAAAAAAAATAGGCAAAGGCAAAGGTATAAAGGCATGACTGAACCGTTGTTGGATCAATTACTTTACACAAAACATGAATAAATCCTGCATATATAGCTTTCGTTGAAAGTTAGAATAATTTCGACGAGAACGTTAGTGTGTTTGTTCAAGTAGAGGGTGCCAACTGCTCGTTGCTTGCATGTCTCATTTAGTGTTTTGGTCATCTTAACCTCTTAAGTTATGAGCGTGGAAGTGTTCCAGGTTTTTGTTAATCTCACTGAGTAAGATTTTCATTTATTGACCTATAAATATTTTTTTTATAGACAACGCATTTGAATATAAGAAAATAGTTATAAAAGTGTGTATCTTTATGTGGATATTGGTGTTTTTTTTTTATACAAATCTAGAACATTTTAAATTTGTCATTGTGATAGTTTGCTAGAGGTAAATTTGTTAACCCATTAGATTTACAGTACTTGATTTTTGTGGACAATGTTTCAATGTGTGCTTCTCCTCGGCAGGACCCGCGCAGTTCATCGAGTAGTGAATCAGAAGATGAACCGGTGAACAAACTCCGCAGGTTGTCAACATCATCTGTGTCTTGCGGGTCATGCTGTGGCTCCCCTTGCCCTTCTCCTTGCCCAGACTCGCGCTCCCGTCACACACGCTGCGGCAGACCGCGGCGTTGGTCGGCCTACGACTCCAGCCTATCTGAGTCGGGCTCATACATCGAGGTTAGTATGCAGGCCACTGCTACAACGTCTCGTAGTGGCTAAGAGGGAACTCTGGACCGTTAGACAGCTTGTCTGTCTAGCCCTAAACATACATATTTATGACCTTTGTATTGGTTTAATTTTGTAGAGGTGCCAGGAAAGACAGGGCGGTAGTTTGTTCGAAAATGTTTATAGAATTGAGTAAAGATAGAGCACAGTACTCTGTTCTAGAACTAGCAATACAGAGAACACCCGTGTGAAGATGTTAATGTAGTGTCCATATACGAAGAGGATATATAACCCCAAGAATCAAGGAATAAGAGTTGAATAGGGATATAACTTTGTAATGGTGAGAATGACTTTCGTTGGAAGTTTATTAAGAACTAAGTAAGGTGTAAAGCTCCGTCATTTAAGATTATAGTACGGTCATCACAGAGCCATGGTAGATCCCAATGTTTGTGGGCTTTGTACTCTGGTACAAGTGTATCACTTGGTGCGCTTCATTGTTCATGCACTGTTACTCATGGTATTATTAGTGCGTTGCTCCTACCACAACACTATACCAAGTTGAGGATTGGGAAGGACGATTTGCTCGTCTCTTGCATCAGCCCATATCCTCCAACTGAAACGACGTGCATGGAGATACTAAGGCTGGGACAGATTACGATTTATCTCGTTCTGATAGACGTAAACCGCCCTTTGGTTTTCTCGTTATTCTTGGTTAACTCTAACATAAATTCAAACTGACCTAGATTAACAGATATTAAATATATGTAGAGACTTAAATCAGGCGGACTAACGAACTGTAACGTATTTTAAAAACCTAGTCTTGTTAGGTGTTGCTTCCAGGGGAAGGTGGCACTCTGGCTTCAGGGCTTACACTCTCCCCTTATCATTATCTGGTTATTGATCACCCTTGGCTTATCTGATAAAGTTTATGCAGACATTGTCTGCTATACTGATTATATCAATAATTTTTCAATATAGCATTAATATCTGTCTTCCACATTATGTTTAGACACCATTTTTTTTTCACAAAATTTACAATTATTTCTTAGTTTACAGTTGCTTATGTACCTGTGTGTTGCGCACCATGCTCTTATCTTCATTAGCTTGGCTCATTCTTACCTACTTCTCATTTAGCCTGCACCTTAACACATGTTCACGTTTTTCTTAAAAGAATACAGTTGCATTACTATAACGTAAAGGTTACCATGTTTCATTCATTAGTGATAATAAAAAATGAGCTATATTGACAGTATTGGTTTTCTCTGTTGTACAGCGTTTAAATAATTAGTATTTTCTGTTTGCATTGCATTTGTTTTAAACTGTCACTGATTTGTTAAGAAATGCATTGCAGATTACTAAATTTTATTTACAATATAATTCTTTTATATTATATATATATATATATATATATATATATATATATATAATATATATATTTTATATATATATATATATATGTATGTATGGAAGAGGTAGGTACCTAGGGATTGGCAGAGAGCATGCATAGTTCCTTTGTATAAAGGCAAAGGGGATAAAAGAGAGTGCAAAAATTATAGGGGATAAGTCTGTTGAGTGGTACCTGGTAAAGTGTATGGTAGAGTTATAATTGAAAGAATTAAGAGTAAGACGGAGAATAGGATAGCAGATGAACAAGGAGGCTTTAGGAAAGGTAGGGGGTGTGTGGACCAGGTGTTTACAGTGAAACATATAAGAACAGTATTTAGATAAGGCTAAAGAGGTCTTTGTGGCATTTATGGATTTGGAAAAGGCGTATGACAGGGTGGATAGGGGGGCAATGTGGCAGATGTTGCAAGTGTATGGTGTAGGAGGTAGGTTACTGAAAGCAGTGAAGAGTTTTTAAAGAGGATAGTGAGGCTCAAGTTAGAGTATGTAGAAAAGAGGGAAATTTTTTCCCAGTAAAAGTAGGCCTTAGACAAGGATGTGTGATGTCACCGTGGTTGTTTAATATATTTATAGATGGGGTTGTAAGAGAAGTAAATGCGAGGGTCTTGGGAAGAGGCTTGGGTTAAAAGATAAAGAATCACACACAGGGTGGGAGTTGTCACAGCTGCTCTTTGCTGATGACACTGTGCTCTTGGGAGATTCTGAAGAGAAGCTGCAGAGATTGGTGGATGAATTTGGTAGGGTGTGCAAAAGAAGAAAATTAAAGGGGAATACAGGAAAGAGTAAGGTTATGAGGATAACAAAAAGATTAGGTGATGAAAGATTTAATCAGATTGGAGGGGGAGAGTATGGAGGAGGTGAACGTATTCAGAATTTGGGATGGACGTGCAGCGGGTGGGTTTTATGAAAAGATAGGTGAATCAAGAATTGATGAGGGAAAAAGATGAGGGTGCACTTAGGGGTCGTGGGGACAAGAACTTTGTCCTGGAGGCAAAGAGGGGAATGTATGAGATATAGTTTTTTTCAACGTCTTATAGGGGGGTTAAACATGGGTGATGAATGTTGCAGCGAGGAGAAGGCTGGAGGAGGGGGATGTCATGTCTGAGGGCAATGTTGGTGTGAATATAACAGAGAATTTGTAGTTTGGGAAGTTAGGAGGGGTGCGGGGGTTACCAAAAATGTTGTCCAGAGGCTGAGGAAGGGTTTTGATAGGAGTGAATGGAGAAAAATGGTTTTTAATACTTGACGTGCTTGTTGGAGTGTGAGCAAAGTAACATTTATGAAGGGATTCGAAACCGCAGGCCGACTTGAGTCCTGAGATGGAAGTACAGTGCCTGCACTCTGAAGGAGGGGTGTTAATGTTGCAGTTTAAAAACTGTAGTGTAAGCACCCTTCTGGCAGACAGTGATGGAGTGAATGATGGTGAAAGTTTTTTTTTTCGGGCCACCCTGCCTTGGTGGGAATCGGCCAGTGTGATAATAAAATATATATATATATATATATATATATATATATATATATATATATATATATATTATATATATATATATATATATATATATATTATTCTGCTTTCCTGGTTCCCTCGTCTGATTTTTCTTTTTATAAATATGTATTCATTATTCACGAAATTGTGATAGCACGATTGCAAACAAATTACAGAACGAGTGGGGATCGAACTCATGGCAAGCAAGTCCTAAAACTTGCCTGCGAGTTTTAGGACTTGCTTGCCATGTGTTCGAGCCTCACCTGTTCAGTGATATAGTATTCATTATATTGCATGTCACCACTGTACGTACGTGTGTGTGTGTGTGTGTGTGTGTGTGTGTGTGTGTGTGTGTGTGTGTGTGTGTGTATACTCACCTAATTGTGGTCGATCCACAGCTCCTGACCCCAGTGTGTGTGTGTGTGTATCTGTGGCTGTCTTTTACTTCAGGTATGATCAGTCTTCACTTCCTACAGCCTGTGTCTTCGCTCATCACCCCCATCACTTTTATACTCTACCACCTGTGTTCTACGTTATCCCATTTGTGCACTCAGTTTCCTGCCACAACCTATATAATCACAGTCACTTCTCCACAACATATGTACTTCCACTACAACCTGTCAGCTCACTTCTTCCCCCTCAGTATATGTACGTCCATCACTGGCGTTCTTCTACCACTTATTTAATAACCTTCCACCATCTGTGAACCAACCTCTTATACCTGAACACTCCATCTAATGTGTGTGTGTGTGTGTTGGTGTAGGGAGGGGGAGGGGGAGGGGCGCTTATTAGATTACTTTGATCAGCATCACTGTCTTCTAACCCCTTGGGATTTATCATATCTAGTCTTGAAGCTGTGTATTGAGTTTTCCTTCACCGCTTTATTCAGGTAATCTCACTTCCTTAGATCTATGGGCGGCGCTAGAATCTATACTGAGAGGGGAGGGGTTTAGAGTGGCTATCTGGTTGGAAGGTAAGCAAGCTAGGACACATTTTCTAACGTTGCAGCATTATTATTTTTGGGAGGTCTGACGCTCCCATAGTCCCCTTGACGCTGACCCTCCTTGCATCCTTTTGCTTCATCTGTTTCCAGCTATATTTCCTGGATCCTGATCCTCTTAATTCAGTCTATCCCTATCTGATGTACCAGTTTATCTTAGGATTTTCTAAGTTGTAATAAGTGTGTGTGTGTGTGTGTGTGTGTGTGTGTGTGTGTGTGTGTGTTAGTAGTGACGTGTTGGGACAAGTGAGTTATTTCCTGCACTCTGACCGTCTTCATTTACCGCACTTCATGCCGGCACAGACCCCACTGGCCACCTCATGCAGCAGCCACGCTCATGAGACCAAGGTAAATAAATTTTGCTTCACCACTGCATGCTCATAGTCGCTAGTTCCTTTTCCCTCGTGCTACCTCTACATGACCTGTACTGACTTCTTCACCAGCAAAGCTGGCTTTTATGCCTGCTCTTACCCATTGATGATTTGCCACCCATTTCCTTAACTGGCCTCATGTTAACCTAACTTATTTAACTAAGGTTTTTAGCTATGTACATGTTGACTGTCCGAGTCAAACAAAGTGGATAACATTTTGAGCATTGCTGAGAGTATTATTTAATATTTTGTATGTGTAATTGCTTAGCTCCTGACCTCTATGATATATTTGGGCTCCTGTAATAACCCCTTACCGTATGGCTCTTTTTCACATTTACGTTTGATCCTATGTTAATATGTCAATATTGACATAGGATCAATATGTTAATAAATAGGATGAGTAGCTCTTACCATTACTCTCCTTCCTAAAGGCAAAAATTAAAAACAAAAAGTGTAAAGTTTGCCTTTACTCCATAACTTTGTTCATTCCTAACACTGATGTTTACTCTTACGTCTGATTCTTTTTGTGTGTACGCATCTATTTGAGGTTACGGGGGCCAAGTCTCAGTACCTGGCCCCGCCTCTAAGCATTATGGGTGTGGGGAGGGAGGGATTTGTTTATCGTGGTATACATAAAGATATGAAGATAAGTGTTACCAGGAGGTTATTCCTCCAGGTAACACTTATCTTCATATCTTTATGTGTGTACGTGTTTTGAGAAAGGTACCGTCACGGAGGGCTACACGTGGGTAGTGTTGGGGTTGTCTCCCAGTCTTTTATCAGCTGCCTGAGCTCCCACTACCCTGACACACTGACTACGTGCATGTAACTACTAATGTGTAGGAGCCGCGCTTGTCTTACGGCTGGATATGTGTAATGCATTTTGTATCTAATTGTCGAATATTAGAGTTCAACTAGATTAATTTGAATATTTGTTGTGTAGATAATGTCAGGTTAATGTACGCACGTAATGAACTGTATTAAAAAAAGGCACTTGAATGAGGTAATAAAGTAATCAATATTTTGTTTTGGCGTCTTCAGGATGACTACGTGTGTGTAAGCGGGGAGAGCGAGTGCGGTGTGGCTCCTTTCCTGCCCACCCCTACCACACAGCCCCAACCTGAACCAATGGTGGTCGAGCCTGAAGAGCAGCCCCTTGCCGCCACACCCAGTACGGATCTTCAAAACTTGGAGACTCCTGACGTGGGCTGCACCAGCTATAAGAGCTTGGCCTTGGGTGTGCAGGATCACGACATGGTGGGCAGTGCCGGCCTAGACACAGTGCGTGCTCGCTGTGGTCAGCAACCTTCAGCAGATATTCTGGCAGAAGTCGCCATGATCCAGGACGCAGTTAAGTCACCTACTGCCACTGCCACCGCTATTGACGGAGAGATGGAAAATGTGAATCAGGTAAATGGTAACACGATGATTTCCCCTGCAGCCACTGAGGACTCAGGTTTAAACCTAACATCCCCTTCAACAGAGGCATCTGTCAGCAGTGAGACAAGCCCAGCAAGGGAGTCGCCCTCCAAAACCAGTTGTACCAACGTTGAACGGCCTTCGCCTAACTGTGCCACTTTTGATTTTAAACACCAAGACACGGATACCGAAGAAGCTGCCACCAACACCACGACTAGTACTGCTACCGCTGCCTGCCAAGCTAATCTTAATCTTGTCGACTATGATCCCTCTAGGAACCGTGTGTACCAGATTCGTCGCCGAGCAATCACTACGGTGCGTCGCGTATCTGCCCGAACAAGGCTAGAATTCAGTGGTGACGAAGAAGTGGACCAAGAAGCTCTCCAAAAAATCATAGACACAGCTGTGCCAGATGATTTGGATTGGCTGAATTCGAACATGCCGAGTGACATAGATTTTAGTGGCGGTGAAGAGGAATACGAAGCGCCAGTTCATGAGCAGATGGACACAGGTAGTGATGGTGGTACTGCTGGACAGCAGCAACACACACCCGAGCAGCATCAGGGGCAGCACGAGACTCAACGAGCCATGAGTAAAGAGTCACTCACTAGGCTGGTTAGTGACGCAGAACGCCTGGTACGAGAGCCAGTCGAGAGTGATGAACCACCGCCAGTAGTCTCCCCGCGACCACATCTCCAGCTGCCGCTGCCACTGAACGGCGGCTCTGGATACGGTGGGGTGAGCAGCAAACAGGCGCGAGTGAAACAGTGGATCGCCTCTCAGCGACGTGAAGTGCGTCACTCCGCCACATGTGTCCTGGACTCCTGTGATGCTTCCGGAGAACTGACAACCGGTGAGAGTGACATCGAGTCCGCTTCGTCTGATGACATGGACGCCTCTACTGCTACTCAACATGCCACCTCCACCAGAAGTTCTGTAAGGGGCTCTCTAAGGGGTTCCCGTGATCCTCTCCCATCCGCTGATAACACCCCAACCACAGAGCGTATCAACGTCCTCCCATTGGCTGCTGACGCCGCGCAAACCAAGGTGAGCTACCATAACATTTGTCATAGTAGAGAATTTGATGCTTTTTAATATACACAACCAGTTAATCAAGATATTTTTATATACCATTGTGCAGAGAGGACAATATTATGTTCAGTAATGTGTAAATATTTTACGCAGGTTGTTCTACGTAACCGAAAGCGTCGGTCCGGCGAGCAGCGACCGTGGAGTGTGAGTGAACTGTACCAGCTGGCAACACACCTCGACCTGGCCCCTTACTCTGTATCGGAAACTGCTCTCCACAACTTGCTTACTGCTACCCCAGAGACACCGACAAATGACAATCAGGCCTTGTGAGTACCATGTGGTCTTTTGTCATACTCTTCTCGATACTGTCATCAGATAAAATATCAGAACTTTGTTGGATTCCTCAATAAAAGCTGTCATCCTCTTGTGTAAATGTGGTTTAATTAACTGGATATTATAAAAAGGCCATTAATAATCATCCCTTCTAAATGGATGTTATAGAAAGGCTTTGAGGGAGAAAGGCAATATATCAGAGAGGGGGACACGCCTGTGACTTACCACCGCCCTGTGATGAGTAACATATTTGATTAGTACATGCTACAACGAAACTGAGGATGGGAAGAGGTGGGGAGGGGGTTGCGTCAGGGCGAGAAGATAATTCCTATAATCTCTATCCGATATCATTGATTAGTGATATGCAATCTGTTAACCTGCTAACTATTGAAAGAGGAGGAGGTACACACTGACAAAAGGAGACAAGTGGAAATAAAGACACTGCTAGCAGAGAATCCTTTTGCTGCAACGTTTCGCTCAAGACTCCCTTCAAGGTAGGTTCCTTGATGCTGGTGAGGGGCTCTTGATCTAGGGAATTGGATCTATGCTCCATTTCCCTGAATTAAGCCTGAATGCCTTCTGTCTTCCCCCACCCCTCCCCACAGGCGCTGTATAATCCCAAGACTGGGATTTGTCAAGTATATGTTAGGTAAAGGGACACGTGCAACTAGTGTGACATTTTTATTGTGGCAACGTTTCGCTTTCCAGGAGCTTCCTCAAGCCGTTACAAACAGTACAAGGACACAGGGGGTATATATAGGTATTAGTGAGGTGCGAGGCATAATATAATCGTTGTAGGTAGTAGTAATACTAGTAGTATACAGGAATGAGCAAATACACGTTCTTGTAAGGTAGTGGTTGCTGATACCATGGCCCATAATTCCAATAACTACCCAATATATTGCCACAACCTCTTTATAGTGCCACTGCTACCACCGTCAAACGGGTCATTATGATAAAGAATCGTTCCAGGCCATTTTCCTTGACGAATAAACCAGAACAGTTCTGCCCGCTGCCCTAGGTGCCACGTGAGTGCGAGCTAGACTGGATAGTGACGGAGGTTGCTGATGGTATTTCCGGGTTTCCATGAATCGTGGCAAAGAATGTAGTTACTAGGCGGATTAAATTTAATTGAATAATTAATCACAATTGTTGTTCTGGTTTACAATTGGAGAAGATTGTACTAATTGGTGTAATAAAAGTATATTTTGAAATATTTCAAGCGTACCTTTACCTTGGATATACCTTTAATGAGTTTCGAGTCTACTCCTAAATATAAAATATTATAATGTTTTGAATGTGGCGGTGCTCAACAAAATTGTATTTCGGACAAATTCTAAAACAAATAATAAAAATATATTTCTGTGGGGTTATGCCCCCTCAAGGAAGGTTCCTTGATGTTGGTGAGGGGCTCTTGATTTAGGGAATTGGATCTGTGCTCCAGTTCCCCGAATTAAGCCCGAATGCCTTCCACATCCCCCTTCCCCCCAGGCGCTGTATAATCCTCCGGGTTTAGCGCTTCCCCTTGATTATAATAATAATAATGTGGGGTTATGCTAATTCTGAGCAAAGAAACTTCGAGACGAGAGAGTTTACAGTTCACTGATGAGTTGTATTGCGTGTTTAAATCTTTGGTATATAGTCGTGGCAGGGCGTGGAGAAGCACTTAGCAGGAGTCGTCTTGTTCACCAGAGTGAGGGTGGTGTGTTCACCAGTGTGAGGGTGGTGTGTTCACCAGTGTGAGGGTGGTGTGTTCACCAGTGTGAGGGTGTTGTGATCACCAGTGTGAGGGTGTTGTGTTCACCAGTGTGAGGGTGGTGTGTTCACCAGTGTGAGGGTGGTGTGTTCACCAGTGTGAGGGTGTTGTGATCACCAGTGTGAGGGTGTTGTGTTCACCAGTGTGAGGGTGGTGTGTTCACCAGTGTGAGGGTGTTGTGATCACCAGTGTGAGGGTGTTGTGATCACCAGTGTGAGGGTGTTGTGATCACCAGTGTGAGGGTGTTGTGATCACCAGTGTGAGGGTGGTGTGATCACCAGTGTGAGGGTGGTGTGATCAGTGTGAGGGTGGTGTGATCACCAGTGTGAGGGTGGTGTGATCACCAGTGTGAGGGTGGTGTGATCACCAGTGTGAGGGTGTTGTGATCACCAGTGTGAGGGTGTTGTGATCACCAGTGTGAGGGTGTTGTGATCACCAGTGTGAGGGTGTTGTGATCACCAGTGTGAGGGTGTTGTGATCACCAGTGTGAGGGTGTTGTGATCACCAGTGTGAGGGTGTTGTGATCACCAGTGTGAGGGTGGTGTGATCACCAGTGTGAGGGTGGTGTGATCAGTGTGAGGGTGTTGTGATCACCAGTGTGAGGGTGGTGTGATCACCAGTGTGAGGGTGTTGTGATCACCAGTGTGAGGGTGTTGTGATCACCAGTGTGAGGGTGGTGTGATCACCAGTGTGAGGGTGGTGTGATCAGTGTGAGGGTGGTGTGATCAGTGTGAGGGTGGTGTGATCACCAGTGTGAGGGTGGTGTGATCACCAGTGTGAGGGTGGTGTGTTCACCAGTGTGAGGTTGGTGTGTTCACCAGTGTGAGGTGTTGTGATCACCAGTGTGAGGGTGTTTTGATCACCAGTGTGAGGGTGTTGTGTTCACCAGTGTGAGGGTGTTGTGTTCACCAGAATGAGAATGCTGTGTTCACCAGTGTGAGGATGTTGTGTTCAGTGTGAGGGTGTTGTGTTCAGTGTGAGGGTGTTGTGTTCACCAGTGTGAGGGTGTTGTGATCACCAGTGTGAGGGTGCTGTGTTCACCAGTGTGAGGGTGTTGTGTTCACCAGAATGAGAATGCTGTGTTCACCAGTGTGAGGATGTTGTTCAGTGTGAGGGTGTTGTGTTCAGTGTGAGGGTGTTGTGTTCACCAGTGTGAGGATGTGTTCACCAGAATGAAGATGTGTTCAGTGTGAGGGTGTTGTGTTCAGTGTGAGGGTATTGTGTTCACCAGTGTAAGGGTGTTGTGTTCACCAATGTGAGGGTGTTGTGTTCACCAGTGTGAGGGTGTTGTGTTCAGAATGAGGGTGTTATTATACATAATGTGATGTATAATAAAGGACATTTGGCACAGAGGAAGCCATTATTATAAACAAGTATCTTTTTGCCACACATATCGGCAATGTCTGCCATACGACATGCAATGTGACTTGCCAAAAATGTTTGGATCTCACATCACACGAGTTTCCGGAGGCACGATTCTATCCGCTGATGGTACCGTAATGGTAATCAAGACTTAGTCTTCCACCACTCCTTGTGCTGTGTAACCCACACAGGTTTAGTGCCTGCACTCTGAAGGAGAGGTGGAGATATGTTGCAGTTTTGTTTTTTTTTAACTGTAGTATCGGGACGCCTCTGGCAAGACAGTGTTGAGTGAGTGATGATGAAAATGTTTCTTCTTTTTCGGGAACGGTCGATGTGTTAAAAAAAAAGTTAGTGTCTCGCATTATATTACCATAATATAATTATCATGCTTTTAGCCAGATTGATCAAACTGAAGAATTTTCTTAAAACCAGCTTTTGCCTAATGTAGTTTCGCGGAAATTAACAGGTTATGCATTTTTTCATGAAAAATTTACTTAGAAATCTGACGTTACATTGCTTGAATTTATACAGTAAAATCTTACTCCCACCAAACTAATATTAACTAAATTAATATTATTTACATCAGTTAAATTATTAATTTTGTGAAAATCAGACAGATTTTCGCAGTTAGAAAATTTATATGCGATAGGTAACGATTGCCGCCAACTAAGCCACATTGGCAAGTTCCAGCTAGAAAACGCTGATTAATATTACCTCACCTGTGTACCAGTGAGCACAGTACTGGTAGGGTGCTCGTTGTTGAAGATGGGTTGGGCGAATTTTTTCGTTAGTGGGTTTGGGTTTGAGAAGGACTTGCCTAGTATGGGCCCAGTAGGCCTGTGCAGTGTTCCTCATGTTATGAAAGTGTTTACAAAGGTGAGAGTGGAGTATTTCATCACTCGGTGGTTGGGGGGGAAGGGTTGTCGTGACTGTTGTAATTGTCATCACGATTTCTCAATTTTCTTAATAATAAAGAAACTGTGACACTAAGTTTAATTAACCCTCTCCTACTATATATTGTTTGTTTCTTTGTTCTCTTTCTACTCGTATCTATATTTATGCGAAGGAATTTTTGACATTTTGTAATGTGAACTGGTCACGGTGAGTGAAGGGAAACTTGGCCTGGATGCAAGCAGCTTCAGACGACCAGCACCAGGAACCTCCAGTCAGTTTTCACCTGGTGCTTGTCAAGCGCACTCAGCAGCGGGATCTACTTACAAAATAACCTCAAAATTAATTCGATATTATAGCGGGACGTTTTAAGTTTAATAATTTTTTTAAAGTAACATTCAGGTAGTAAATGTAGAATCGAGTAATGGTAAACTGGCCATATTGATTAAGCTGACGTTGATGTTGATACCAAAGAGAGATGCTTTGATTTAAATGCTGGCCGAGCCCACGGGCGCATGTATGGGCAACCTCTGGCTGGGAAGTATCAAGATAAAGACTGCTGACAACACCGAGACATTATCGATTATTTGTCATTGTGATCTGAGATAAGCAAGTGATATTTATCTGTAATGTGTAGTTAATTGTTGATTTAAAGTAATATTTTAATTGCTCTGGTGTCATAATATTTGTGTTGTGAACAAGTGAAGGACTTGATGTAGAAGCCCCCGGTACATTATCAGTGCACCAGAAACGTTGTTCGTGGAAGTTCACACTAGGCACGTCAGTGCCGCAGTTGCAAGTTAGACACCTCGTAAAGCACTTGTTAACTATCAAGGAATGACTATATATGTAAATTTATCCCTCGAAGACTGCTAATTTCAGAATTTAGCACAACTGCTTCGAAGTATCTCTAAGTACTACCAAGTTTTTTAAGTGCAAATTAAACTTGTAAAAACATGGTTTAACAGTGAAAAATAATACTGTACAATGCTGCAAGAGATTAATTACCGTGCATAAAATCAAGAGCTACGGGATTCGCACAAGTGGATAAAGGGTGACCAGCAGTGGTTCGAGTATCATGTTGGCTCTGAGCAACTACCTCAGCATTGTAGTCTTTGAGGGCCCAGTGGGTACGTAAAACAGTCGTACAGTATTTAAATATGTGGACAGTGTGGGACTTCATGTTTGACTGCGTGAATATATTCTACTCAGGTCACAGTAAAAAAAAACTTGATTAGACTTTAAATATGGTATTTAAATAATGCTATTAGTAATGTTTGAATCTCCTCTTACAAAGGTCATCTTTGTATATGGTCTGTACAGTAATTTACAACAAAAAGGTGCACATAATTATGGGCTCATAAATTTTTAATTATCTCTTCAGTTCATAGCAAATGTAATGTAGCTTTTGTGAATTATTATTTTTTTTTATTTTGCATTGCGGTATGATCCCAACTGGTTTAATGCTTGATTTGACAATAATAATATTATTGTTATTATTATTTCCTTTGACCTTTCCCACTTCAGTGGAATGGGCCAACGAGATGTGATAGCCACTGGCAGCTCCTCACTGGCGGATTGCACCACACCTACAACCACCACAACCACCACCACCAATCCTACCACTGCCAGTACCCCCACCACTGCCACCTTCAGCAACATCTCTAACTCTGCCATTATCACCACCTCCATAACCCCATCCACTGGGCGCATTTCACCAACAACAGGAACGGGTTCCCTCCGGAGAAGGAAGACGAGAGCTCGCAGGAAGTCTAACCTCTCTCTGGCAAGTATTGCTGCGTATTAGACATGAGATATAACCATGCTTACCATTTAAAATGTCTATGTATATGGCGAGGACAGTATTAGTTTCCCATTGAATTTTTGTGAAAGAAGATTGCGGCTGCAACCGTTCGTTTTCTATTTCTCCACTTCAGGGAAGACGAACGGATTCAGGGTCGGAAGGCATCACGCTGAACTTGTCTGGAGGTTCTGACAGTATTCACATGTCACCCAGTCGTCGTCTTTCCCTTTCGAAGTCACACTCGTCTGGTTCGGACACAACCTCACACTCCAGGAGACATATTGTCAAGAGTTCGTCATTCTCTGGTGAGTACAGTAACGAACTAACAAAAACTTTGATATAGGGTTGATCAGGCTGTGCCTTAGGGGCATTAACCCCCGGAAACTTTCTTAACGGTGTTTATAATGACGTCAGGATACAAACCCGGATGAGCGGTCATATTGGTTACATACTATTTCTAAACAAAACCACGTGTACCGACTCAGTGATAGAAGAACTTATTAAAGCTTCCGCTTTTAAATACAGAGATGATCTTCAACCAAATGAAAGATAAAGAGTATGAAATCAAGTTACAATTGATAAGTGGTTAAGATCCATATTAAATGCCTAAAGCTGTTTTATAAGATGTCAAAATAATACCCAGTATAACACATGCAAATATTGTTAACTACTTGGTGTTGTCACCTAGTCCACACATACGAAGATTTAAAATGTTATAAATAAAGATTTAGTAGTGTACAATCAGTTTGTTGATGGGTTAGACAAAACAAATCAAGATCGCCAGTAATAAATAAGATTCCTTGTCAAATTATGTGACAAAGTTTATTACTGTCAAACTGGTAAAAGTCTTGAACTTAGATTAAAACAACATAAATATAACATTAAAAGTGGACAAGATTCTAATGCTGATGCAGTGTGCGCGTGTTCGAGTCCTGCTGTGGACTGAGAATGTTTGTAAATAATTTAGCCCGTTTGCGTGCGTGCACAACACACTCACTCTCTCTCTCTCTCTCTCTCTCTCTCTCTCTCTCTCTCTCTCTCTCTCACTCTCTCTCTCTCTCACTCTCCTCCTCTCTCACTCTCTCACTCTCTACTCTCTCACTCTCTCCTCTCCACATACCCACAGTTAAACTCATGCTCACACTTATTAGCTGGGCATTACCAAGATCTCAGATTTCAATACCCCATATCTTTTTCTAACTTAGCCTCCGAGTTATCGAACACAGCTCTGCTCTCTTGAATGCACAGAGTCACAGGGTTAAAAAAGTAGGTCATGTAGCAGGTGGTGGAAGGAATTCAGAGCTAATAATGAGGCAACATCCTGCACACTATTAGAAATCTTAGACGTTTCGCGATAATAAACAGTCAGGTCTGTTGCAAGGAAATTGATGCTAAATGCTAAGCTAGTAGAAGTTTAACATGTCAGCTGTAACATTTCATTGTCATGTTGAGAACATATCCGTAACAGAGTATCTTAAGGAGTTTTTGTACTACAAAGCATTCGTGGTGGTCTGGTCGCGATAGCATGATCTAAGCTAAGTGTTGTCCAGACTATAGTGTTGACAATGCACTTACTACTATTTATTTTGAAGGGTGTGAGAAATATACAGTATACGGTCTTCTAGATAGCTTCTGTTCTAAAGAGCTCGTCGTACGTTCTGCGGGATGACCCCCTCCACCGAGAAGTGTGTCTCAGACTGTGGAGGCGTGTTGGGCGTGCCACGTACTGTTTTACATGTTCACGGTGAGAACCACTACACAAGTGATGACTCGCGTCCCTGTAGCCCTGTGCCTGTGATCAAAGAGCTGGCGTCTAACCCTAGTCCAGCCCACGCACCCCACAGCGCCCCTCATATGAGTGACCAGGACGGCCAAAACACTCACGAGGACATGAGCTCATTGTCAGAGCAAGCCTGGGATCCTTATCAGGTGAGTTGTATATACTAACCTTAAAGTCCTAAAGCAACCTTAAAAAGCCTAAAGCACCACTCAGCTCGCCTGATAGTACTATTAAGTGTCCTTCAGTCACATAGTTTTTGTTATGACTGCTACCAGTTATCCTCTGTGGGTTTTGTAGAGCGTTTAGAATCTAAACTTAAGATTTTGAAAAATGTTAGAAGTGGCGTGTAATATTGTGTATTTACTTGTTTGTGTAAACATAATGTGTCCATACAGGAGTACAAGTACCTGAGTGAACCCTACTCTGAGGACATTGACCAAGAGGCAGCACGACGACTGCTAGAGTTCGGAGATGACTATCGGAAGTACATAGATTCCGATGGTGCGTCCTCCTTTTCTGGCATCCCTCACAGGGGGCGCCGTTCCCCACATCATCGTCGTCTTCGCTCCTTGGCACCTCCGGGACCTCGCGACTTGGATTCTGACTCTGACTTGGACGATCTGCATCATGTGATTGACGAGTCCAGGTCTCAGCTCACAGTCACTGAGAACGTCTTGAAGAAGTACTCCAACGAAGCTGCCTTGGGGTTGGATTATGTAAGCATTATTGATATTGTTGCAAGTTTAGTTGAGGTCATTAGTGAGGTGTGGGTTGATTAATTTGGGTTAAAATCTATGGACTACATGAAGATAATTATGGCTGTATATAACCTTTTCACGACCTGTCAAGAATACTTTAATCCCTAAAATAGGAATTAAAAATGCTTCAGGGTATATTCACTGATGGATGCACGTCTCTGGGTGTATATGCCCTTTGAGATGTGGGCTGGTTAGTTAATTTTGTTTAAAGCCTGTCGACTAGGCCATTAAGGCTGCAGTAACCTTGTCACTACTTGTGAAGAATACTTAAATCGCTAAAATAGGAATTAGAATAAACTAATTGGTGTATATGCCCTTTGAGATGTGGGCTGGTTAGTTAATTTTGTTTAAAGCCTGTCGACTAGGCTATTAAGGCTGCAGTAACCTTGTCACTACTTGTGAAGAATACTTAAATCGCTAAAATAGGAATTAGAATAAACTTTATGTACAATATCTCTCATTGAGACGTAAGTTGGCTATTAATTGGGCTTAAACCTATCGACATACAATAATAATAATAATTTTTACTTCTACAAGTACATGTACAAGATATACAGGCCTATCTGACATCAGTGACATACTACTATATAGAAAGCCCCTTGTTATGTAGAGCATTTCGGGCAAATTAGGTCAGTTTGGTTCCCAGGATGCGACCCACACCAGTCGACTAACACCCAGGTACCTGTTTTACTGTAGGTGAACATTGACAATAGATGTCTTAAGGAAACACGTCCTAATGTTTCCACCTGTACCGGGGATCGACCCCCTGACCTCAGTGTGCGAGCTGCATGTCACTTGCTCATCACTAATCAAGAATACTTGAATCCCAGATATGGACTTATTGGAATTAAAGTAAACTCAATGTATATAGCGAGATATAAACTCCACCCTGTGTACATACACACCAAGAGATGTAGATAAATGGTTCAGAGAACCGACAAGATGATAAATTAGACACTTTTGCAGCACTTGGGTATCTTTACTGCGAAAACGTTTTGCCAACCAGTGGTGAAACGTTTCTGCAATAAAGATACCCAAGTGTTGCACGAGTGTCTTAATTCATTACGTCAAGAGATATACTCACTAGAATATATACAAAGTTGGGATTCACCCATAAATGTTATTTGTTATTTTCAGTGTTTTTGTCAAAAGATTTCCAAGATTAAAATAGTGATACGCTTATATCAGATTAAGTACACTTTGATGGTAAAATTCGTAGGCAATGCTTTTATAAAGTTCCTTCAGATAAATTTATTAGATGATGAATCTTAAGTTTACGTTAAATAAAATCTTGTATAATTACAACAGCCATTGTTTAGAACTTGTGTATTTGCGTTTCATGAGTAAAAATGCAATTTTCCTAATTATAAAGGGTAAAAAGTTTGGCGTTTTCTGTGATTGGCAGAATTCCCTGTTTTCTGTTGACGGTGGGGTGACTCGGATAGAAGTGACCTTGACCGGGTTCAGTCCTACTATTGTTTCGTAGTTATAATAAAAAAATCTGTTTCTTCTTTTGATAAATACTGACTGATATTAGAAGTGTATTTAGCAAAGTTATTGACCAATCGTCCAGTCTGCTCATCATTTTTGTAACAATACTATATTTCACAATTCTCCATAGTGAGTCTCATCAGTTCTATATTAAAACTGGTCATACAAGAGTGAAAGTTGGCCTCCTTGACCATGATTCAGACTTTAGCATATCCACTGGTGTCCAGGTAGGGGAACTTGACGTTCTCCATCCACTGCTTGGAGTGGATCATATAGTTTAATGATTTCAGTTTAGAACATACGTATGTTTTATGGAATAAATCACTGTGTATGACATTGAAATTAATAAAAACTGTTTATTGACTTGTTGAAATCACAAGCTAGGAAGCCAGGTAAAGGGAATGGGAAGTGTGGCAACGGTGCGGAGTGCCGAGGGGTCCAGCATAAGCGAGGTGCGCTCTAGATGGCTGGAACCGTTAGCACACTGCTGGTTTCCTCACAGTGCTCTGAACGCAAATATAGACGTCACTTACGAAGTGTGTAGGTACCACGACTCAACATTGAGTGAAATAGTGTTAGTGGGAAATAAGATTTTGCTTTTAATACATGCAGTTATAAATTACTGGCTAGGGTTGCCGCCCGTCCCTTGTTTTTTAGTGCTGTTCGTGAATAGAAATATAATTACGGGAAGAATATTTTACTGTACAGATGTATTCAGTATTTGACACTGATATCAACTATGAAAGTAGACATGACTGTATCACTGTAGCAGTTTCTGCGATAATGTATAAGGAAACAAAATATACGATTTAGTGATAAAAAAATTTTGCTGAGGCAGTGATCAAGTGTTTTAGCGTTGAGTCAATTTAATGCCGCTGACAGTCACACAATGTGCTGATAGCTTTTATGATGGTGCGCACAGGCAGAACTGGTGGCTACAACACAGACGAACATCAAGTGTCTGGCAGAGGTGGTGCGGCACTTACAGATGGAGGGAACTCTGGAACCCGAGCTGCAGGAGGTCCAAAGTGAGTACACCCACTCTAATAAGATATCTTCTTCAAACATTCGGCTTTCATTATAAGATCTAATTACATGTTTGCTGTAGTCAGGCTTATGTATATTGTTCAGAAGATTAATGAGCTTAGTGTCCACTTTCAGTTCATGGATGTTAAGTTCTGAAGGTGGCTGGCCAGTGATAGGGTCTCTGGAAATGAACGGAGGGATGTTGGGGCAAAGGTTCTTATACCGCAAACTCTTAAACAGATTTCTGACTTAATTGTCACTGAGATGGGATTCTTTGTGCAGTGAGGCTAGGCGCACACATCTTATCCACAGTCAGTTGCTTGTAGGTCATCCTGTTCCCCAGTTTTTGACATGCAAGATGTTTGTGGTATATATTTTATCCTTTTGTCACCAGTTTCAGTCATTTGTGTTTTTTATTCAATTCCCCATCTACAGTATTTTCATCCTTTAATACTACTCATGTATCTCCCCCCCATCCTTCTGATACTCTTTGTGTACTCTCTTTTCCTTTTGGGATATAACCCTGAGATATCGTCCTTGATTTATTTCAATGTATGACCTTCTTTGATAATATTGATAATTAGTCTTCATTGTGGTTACCTGATGTGCTCTATCCTCTTAGATACTCCCAATGTATCCTCTTGTATAATAATGTAATTTAGATGATATAATAGACAAATGATATCAAGTATATTTTTAAAACTTCAGTACGAACGACTGTAACTGATATTCAACAAATGCTACATTGTTTTATATGTTTATCTGATGAAAAAATCCAATTATTACTGAATCGGATGATATAACATTTGAAGGGTATTAGGAACAGTTTATCATCATTGGTTCGTGCATAGTAATGTAGTTATTAAAAAATTAGCAGTCAGTTTCATTGCAGTGTTGTAAATCTGTCCACAAGGATCATTGAACCATCATGATACAGATTTCAAACATGTGGTACTGTCTGCACCCAGGAGCAAAAAAAAAAAAAATAGCAGTACACATGCTAAGATAACATCCTCCAACATTGCAAGTTTCAGTAGATTTTACTTCATCACTCTGGGTTTCATTGTTTTTCTCGTGGCCAAAAGACTTTACCTTTTTTTTTCCAGCAGATATATGAAATATTGCCGAAATAAATGAGTTTTCAAAATAATAATTAACCACAACCTTACAACAAAGGCCAGGTTAGCCAATATGTGAGTACGTAGACTTCGGAGATGCTGGAAGCAACTGTCACCCCTACACCAATAGCCATGGAAATCGAAGCTTGCATAGTTGTCAAGAAATTCATGTTTGTCGAATCTGTTACGTATGTGTGCACACACATTTCCTTAGAGAATTGTAGGCGATAGTAAACAGTAACTAGTGTTTTTTTTTTTTTTTTTTTTTTACACGAGATGTATCAGTTTCATTTACTGAACATTCATCTTTACATGCATTACTTTTTTGTTAATCGGGGAAGTGTTAAACATATAGGTGTCATATATCTGGGAAATGGGAAGCAATCAGGTTCAATCCAAACAAGGGAAGGATAAATTCAGTTCTTTCCATCAAGAGCCTCTCATTAACTTCAAGACGCCTTTCCCTTTTCTTGAGGGGAACTGTACGTTAAGCCTAAAATAATATAAAATATACTTTATTTCTAATATTTTACCAGTCGTGTGCGTAATTATTTGTCTATATATAATTTTCCTGTATATAAAGGACTACGATAGAAATCATCACGGTCATGTGATAGTTAAATTAGCAATGCCTGTATTAAGGGGAGGGGGTGTACGACTAAACAGGTGTGTTGATATGACGTTACATCACCGCATTAGTGATGCGAGGCCGCAACCTTACTTGGTATGCCCCCCCCTCCCCTCCACACAAGTGACGTCAACTTGTCTACGTACCAGAAAGCAGCCGGTTTCTATGCACTACACTATTGTTAACACACTGCTATCAGCCAAGGACAGCGATTAGTGCATCTCTTTCTGACTTTTCATATCACCAACTTTGTCAGTCCGAAAATACTGTAGTAAACAGCTTCAGTTTTTTCGAGTGTTGGGAGAATCGAAAGTGACAAGTCAAATTACAAGCCGCTATCTATACCACTGTTACATGATCACCAATAATGAAATTATCCAAAATGACAGGTTATTTAGACTTTTGAACGTTGGCATAGACATGAACTGTGACTCAGTGTAAGTTTTTAGATAGTATCTCACCATACCTGTCTCGCTCTCTTCCCTCCCCCCCTTTTTTTTCTCCTCTCCATCCCCCTTACCCACTCCATTGTTGCTAGGGTCTAAACCCACACCATTACCGGTAATATATAATATGTCCTTTAGGAATGGAAATTTTAATACAGTTGTATATCTTTCTGGCAATTTGATGTCTTAAAAAATTAAAGATGGCTGTGGTGAGAGAGGAGACATGCGGGGTGTAGATGTGTATATGTAGTTGTGTAAACAATAACAGAAATAGTGACAGGAGTGTAGAAACCTGAGCCTACACCAACCAGTTCATGGCTCGTGCTGCACCACATGCCACCCTCTACTCCCCAGATCACTTCCTTCTCCCTACCCTCCCCAACACCAAAACGTTGCCTCCATTATCCTTGTATATAAAAATATTTTTAGGGATCATTTCATGTTAATATGCAAGTGACAACATTTAATATAGAATAAATTACAGTAACTCGTAAAATAAATAAGAGCCTTTTAAAAATATCGATGACAAGCCCGCTGGGCTCGGGGTGAGGCAGGTATGGTTTGGTTGACTCTCGGGTATGGCATCTCACTGACTGCTAATGCCTGGCGAACAGTCTGCCACACAATTCGTGAAGAAGCGATCACCGTCACCAGTTTGCCAGATTTCGCTGACATTACGTACCCAAGTCACCCAAACTCCGGTCATATCTAGCCAACAGGATGTAACTACCTCGCCACCTGGCCACCTTCACACCCTCATTGTTTACTCACCGATGTGCTTTAATCCTTCTACATGGCATACATGCAGGCACTAACAAGGTTCATTTTGATCTCCGTCCGAGATCATCTAAAGAACTACTGAAGCTATTTTATATGCAAAGAACTCCTCATGGAGGTTCCTTGATGCTTGTGACGGGCTCTTGATCTAGGGAATTGGATCTGTACTTAATTTCCCTGAGTTAAGCCTGAATGTCTTCTATCATCCCCCTCCCAGGCGCTGGATAATCCCTACGAGTTTAGCGCTCCCCATGATAAAAATAATATATGCAAAGAAACTATAACAAGAGCTTGAGGCCTTTCAGTATAACCGTCGTCAGATGCTATCGGTCATTGAATTGGTTAGGGAATTCACAATATATATAAAAAGGATATGGAGTCGCATGATTCTTGAAGGATTAATGCATTATATGCCTATCATGCAGAGCGAATAAGTTTATTATTCAAAGTATCTGCTCTTGAAGAACAAAATGGACGCTTCATTGTTCATAATATATTGTATATCTGTGCGTGGCTTCAGACACAGGTATTTAAAATAATTAGGAATGGAGAATCGCACATATGTCGAGTTTGAACGTGTCCTTACGTTTCAGTGCTCGGAGTATAATAATTAACTGCTTGGAGGGAGGAAACCCAGTTACTTTTAGTGTGAGAGAGTATCCATTGTTCTTCAGGTTGGTGGTCGGAACCATCGGTCTGGGAGAGATATTTTTCAGTAACTGCATGGCATTAGGTATAACATTAATGTTTAAATAATTTGGGTTTGCATGCATGCATGTGATGGATTGAGGGAGGGAGTAGAGGAATAGAAGAAGGAAGTGAGATCACTGCCAGTCTTTGTTATGAGATTTCCCACCCACCCACTCGCTGGCAGATCAACTCCCACCTGTTTACACTAACCTAGCTCAGCCCCCGCCCACACAGTATCACGTCACACATATACACGGAGGAAAGGCGCATGTATACTCACAGAGTCCAGCCTTCTTGGGGTTGGGACTCAGTTCCTGGCCCTAACTCACAATCTCTTTGATATTTATTATAAATTTAGGACCCTGTCATACCTACTCTTGAAACTATTTATGGAATTTTCACTACCTTTTAATTTGGAGGCCTGGTCGAGGACCGGGTCGCGGGGACCGTTGACCCCCCTCCCAAAAAAAAGGGTAAGCCTCGTTTTAATTTTTCATAAGTCTTTGAGGCTTATCTGGTTGTTTCCTTCGTTATCCTAGTGACTGTTTTCCCCATCCTAGTGATACTCGTAAATATCTTTTGATGTCATGACGTGTATCATACTCTTTCAGTGGCTTAAGGTAGAAGAGTTGTTGGGTCTGTACGTGTACGTACTCATTTATTTGTGGTGTCTTTTTCTTTCACTACTTGATTCATAAATACATACATACATACCAGTGGGTAACTTTATAATATTTGTTACGATTTGGTTTTGGCCAAGCTGTATGTGAATGTTTACATTTTGGGCCATTATCTATTATTTTTGTGGAGTGTCGTGATGTGTGGTAGTGTGCTGCCTGGTGTCTGGAGGCAATGTAGGACAGAGGTAGCGGCGGTAGTGGAGATCAATATTGGAGGAGCTGCAACACAAGGTATGCCCATGCAAACTCCACCGAACCCCAGTCGCTGTCAAACAATCATACCGTCACCAGAGCCGCTTCTTTCCGTTCCCTTTCATGACCCCTCTGTTCTGTTAGCCTAAATATCCTTTTATCACTTAAATCGTATCTCTGCTTAATACACTTCTTCCTTGCGTCCCACCTGGCTAGTTACCTCTCACTTCTGGAGTAGTTAAAGGTGTATTACTACAGCTTTAAGGCTATGGAAGGCTCATATTCCATCTGTTAAAGGTATCACATGTTATGGTTTTAATTTAATTGGGCACTGGTTATTGTGAAAGTGTTCTGAAATTGTAGTCAAGACACGGTGGAGCCAACCCAAACAACTGCCACCACGGGGACAGAAAGATCATTCATCGAGTACGAGTGCACTATGCTTCCCTCTCTTTCTCCCTTCCCTGCTTG